GATTCACAGGAGAGGGAGTGAATGTTTAGATCCAAATGACTAGGCATGCTGTCATTTATTAGTAAAATTTCCTCAATAGTATCCCAGTGGCTCTGTGCTGATATATACTCTATAGCTCTCTCCGTGCTGAAATATACTTTATCCTTCTGCACAGCAGCAGGGAGTGATGCATGTAATGGATCAATTAGAAAAAAGTGAATGATTAAGGTAATTAACAATAATGAGAAGAGCAATGGACATCTCTGAACTTCCCAGAGCCTAGGCATTCTCTTGTATATCCCTCCGAGGAGTGCTACATTCGATTGCCACAAAAATCTCTGTAAAGCAGAGTTTCTCAGCATCAGAACTATTCTCATTTTAGACTGCATGATTCTTTGCTGGAGGGGCCCAGGGTCAGCAGCGTGCCTGACCTCTACCCACTAAATGACAGCAGCACCTTTCAATTTTAAGAATTGACATTGGCCATGTTTAGATCTGCTAATATGAAATGCATAGCAATTCACAAAAGAGTCGTTGGGAACTTAATTTATACAGTCTTCTGCAATTCATTAGCATCCTAGAAGAATTCAAGTCTAAGCCTAGAATTATACTTTCTTAAAATGTTTCCTATTAGTATAAGTTATGAGTGTCTATAATCCAGGAATGGATAAATGGTGATGAATACCTCATTAACTGATCATTTGTCTAAATAAGTTTTGTCATATTTAAACTTAATTATCAATTAATATAAATAGTATCATTAAATAATATAAATTATATATTCCATACTTATCATTAATTTCTCTAAAACAAATCAAGCTCGAGAACAACTCAGCATCTTTTCTATTGTTATAATAAAATGGTTGCTTTGCTTACAATTGAAGCAGCTGCTCTTTTTATTTTTTAATTTATTACAATTTATTCACATTGTATCCCAACTGTAGTCTCCTCCATTAGCCCCTCCCCCTCCTCTCCCTTCCCCTCCCTCTTCTCTTCCCATGCTCCTCCCCCAGGCCACTGATAAGGGAGGTCCTTCTCTCCTTCCATCTGACCTTAACCTATTAGGTCTCATCAGGACTGGCTGCATTGTCTCCCTCTGTGGCCTGGTAAGGTTGCCTCAGCCCTCAGGGTGAACTGATCAAAGAGCCAGCCACTGAGTTCATGTCAGAAACAGCCCGTGGTCCCCTTACTAGGGTACCCATCTGGAGACTGAGCTGCCAAAAGCAGCTACTCTTTCAGGGCAAGATTCTAACTTGAATACTGTATGAGTCCACAGTCTCTGGTAATCAAATACCTTAATGTGTACTTACTGATGTCTTGAATTTTCATTTGCTTTATTGAATGTTTTCTTCGTAGTATTTTAGAATTTTGTCCACAACTTTATAACACAATGGTACAAATATGGATTTTCTTAAATGGTTAATAAAGATAAATATACAACAACTTTTGATTAAAATTGAAATACCTTGTATATTTTAGGTAAAGCACCTGTGTACAGGCAGAAAATTGGGAGGGAAGAAAGAAAGAAAGAAAGAAAGAAAGAAAGAAAGAAAGAAAGAAAG